GTAGAGGTGCAAGGAACTCTGACTGCAACCTTCAGTTCTTCTTTGAGGAGGGTCCCTTGGGGTGATCCACTTTAGGAGACCCTAAGCAGGCTGGCTTGGAAAAAGGCAGTAAAGGGAGACCCTACAGTCTCTGCCTCGGTACCACCGGAGCAGCTCAAACATGTGGCACCTGGCTGCTTGGCAATGCTACAGACTATGGCGCCTCTTTCTGCCTCTGCAGCACATCGGTACCACCGACAACACCTTCTTCTTATCGAGGCTGTTGGTATTGCAACAATTTCTCCACCACAAAAATCTTCTGGTCTCCTTGGCACCAGAATCTCCACTATTTGGTATCGACCTCACTCCAGCATGTTCGATACTGAGCCATCTTCCAACACCGCCCAGATCAGCTTTATTTAGTGATGAAGGGTAAATCTACTCATGCATCCGATGAAGTGGGCATTCACCCACGAAAGCTTATGCTCCAATACAGCTGTTAGTCTTAAAGGTGCCACAGGACTCTCTGTTGCTTTCTACTCATCCCGTCACTCCTCGCCTTTCCTTGAAGCTACTAGACCAGGTCCACCAGAACACCGTGAATATCACCCAGCACCTGAAACTCAAGGCTGGTACAGGAACCAAAGGATGCCACCACCCATACCATTTCCACCACAGTGGCCTTACTGGGACCCACGGGCAGTGTACTGCCAACAGTACCCTAAGCCTCCAAGTCCACCCAGGGTGAGGTCGAGGCATTCTCCTTCACCCTCTGTATCTAGATCCTCTGAACCTCCAGAAGAGGCAGTCGAGGAATTAGAGGAGACTTCAGACTAGGAACCTGCACCAGCTGCCAACTTTTCATCCTCTTCCCTGGATGAAGCCATCATGCCCTCACTACCCACCATGGGAGATGATCTTAAACAGTTTCATGAACTGTTTAAGAGGATTGCAGATTCCCTGGAATACCTCTGGAGGAAATGGTGGAATCCCAACATAAGTTGTTGGACATCCTCCAGACTTCAACCTCCTCCAAGATTTCCCTACCAATAAAAAAGGCTCTCATGGACCCAGCCAAGACCACTTGGCAGACACCAGCAACAATCTCACCCACCTGTAAAAGGGCAGATAAAACCTATTATATCCCTTCCAAGGGAATGGAATTTTTGTTCTGACATCCCACGCCAAACTCCCTGGTGGTAGAGGCTGTGAATGAAAGGGGCAGACAAGATCACTCCAGAACCATCCCGTACGACAGGGACTGGAAGAGGTTATACCTTTTTGGACAAAAGACCTACTCGTCAATGAATCTTCTATTTAGGATCATCAATTATGGGACATTGATGGCCAAATATAATTTCCTAAATAATTCAAAAATATCTTAATTTATTGATTTTTCTACCCGAGGACAAAAAAGAGCAGTTCAAAGCAACCATCTCAGAGGGCCACCTTCTTGCTCAAACAGCCTTATAGGCCTCACTGGACTCGAGAGAGAGAGCGGCACATTCCATCATCACGGCCATGGTAACGCAATGAGCTTCCTGGCTCCACTTCTCTGAGGTACAATTTACTGTTGAGGATCTTCCATTCAAGGGCCCGAAACTGTTCACATCCAAGATGGATGAGTCGCTTGACACGTTAAAGGTCTCCAGGGTGACCCTCACATCCTTGGGTATTTAAACACCTTCCCAAAAGAAAAAAACAAGCAAAGTATTATACAGCACAAAAAACAAGATCCGTGCCCTATATCCAACTTCAGAGGCAGTATGACCCACAAAGGTGGAGGCAGAGACCCACTAGGAGGAGACGGTACCTTTCTGATTTCAAGAATGCAGGCCTCTCTCTGAGCTCTGTTAATTTTCACCTAAGCAACAATAACAGTGTTCCATTCTCCAGTGAAGGGTTTTCGATGTTTGCTCACCTTGCAACTTCTAGTTTTATTAAAGTGTTATCCAGCCTGTTTCCACACATCAGGGAGCACACCGCAGCCTGGGTTTTTAAATTAGTCAACTCTCTGATTAAACCTCCCTTTGAACACCTGGCCACATGCTCAGTCTTACACCTATGCATGCAGATGACTTTCTTGGTGGATATCACCTCTGCTCGGAAAGTTAGTGAGTTTGGGACTTGGATGGTGACCCTCCCCCCAATCCGTTTTCTTTACTGTTTTCTTTAAAGTCAAGGTATCGCTCTGACCAGATCCCTGATTCTTACATAATAATTCTTACATAATTTGGCCTTGGATTTTTACATCAAACTATTCATCTGCCAGTTTTTTACTCTAAATCTCATTAGTTTAGGGAGTACAGCATCCTTCACGCTTTGGACATTAGGAGGGTATTGTTCTTCTGTTTGAACGGGACTAGATCCTTTTGGGCCTCTCTTCGATTATTTGTTTCTGTAGCAGATAGAGTTAAAGGAACACCCATCTCCACCCAGAGACTTTTAAAATGAGTTTCCGGTTGTATTCTTGCCTGCTATGAAGCTGCTGACATCCCAGTCCCTCCTAGGATTATAGCTCATTTCACCAGATTGCAGTCTACCTCTGTTGCCCTACTAAAAGACATTCCTATCAGAGAAATCTGCAGAGCTGCCACATGGATCTCCATCCATCCATCCATTCACAAAGTGTAATGGTCAAGTGCATGCATCCTGGGTAGATGCTGCATTTGGGACCGCCTCATTCAATTTGTTTTAGAACAGATGCCAAAGCATCCACCTTCTCTAAGGAGTGCTGCTCAGGTGTCACCTGAAGTGGATCACCCATAGGGACATTACTCAAAGAAGGAGAGTTTACTAATCTTGTACAGTAACTGGAGTTCTTCAAAATGTTTGTCTCTATGGGTCCTCCAATACCCACTTTCCTTCTCTGCTTTGGAGTCACATCTCTATGGGACTTTGTAGCAGAGAAGGAACTGAGTGAGGTTTGTCCATCACAGCCCTATGTATCCTCAATATATGGCATGATAGCTAGTGTGCATGTGTGGCCCAAATGAGCACTGCTGCCAAAAATCTCTGAAAGTGAAATGGTCACATGTGCACCTGAAATGGAGCACACCTAGACACATACATCTTGAAGAACTCCAGTTACCATACAAGATAAGTAACCTCTTCTTCTGTGATCTTTTTTTATTGAAATTGTTGTTTCAAGAACAACTATAGGACAATATCTCCCTAGTTCTTAGTTTTTGCTACTCAACTTGAGTAATAAAAAGCATGGAGAGGTGTTTATGATGGTTTAGGAGGTGAGATACATTAATGCATGGGTCAGATGCTTGTGATTGAGGAAGGAGATTAAGGAAGTAGAGAGATTTCTGGATATGTTGGTTTGAATAAATGAAGTTTTCTATGAATGAAAAGTTGCTTTACTTTCTTGTCTCTTCATATTGGTAAACTGATTGAGTCATCATCTCATTTTGAAATCTCTGCCATTTTGTTGTCGATATGTTAGATATTTTTTAGCCTCACATTTCTGATAAGAGAATTTGGCTGTGATTAAAGGTCTTTGTATTTCAAAAAAAATTTGCCTGACTCGTTTTGATTACACCTTTGTGTTTATCACTTGTTTCAGACTACACAGTCTTAAATCATTTTGATTCAACAAAGTAACAAGTAACCACGACTTTCTTCAATGCTGAGATTTCCTCCATGATTCTAGATGCGTCTCTCCTTAAAAAAGGAAACAAAAAAAGAGTTTCTCCTATAATCCCTCAAATAGTTCTCTATTTTCCTATAAACTGTATGAAAATGAAAGTATCTCATAATTTCTCAAGTTTATGTGCTCTCTTTAGGTTATAATTTTTTTTTTGTGAAGTTGTCTTTTTTAATTTTTGTAAAATGTTTAGCATAGTTCTTAGCACTAAAAATAAATAACTTTAAAAAAAAATCTGTACATTTGCTGTATGCCTCTTGTTTATCAGTTGTCCCACCTTCACAAAACAGTGTTTGTTTGTTTGTTTTGGTCTGGTGTGAAGAGCTATTCTCCTGTGATTATCAATAGCCATTACACCGAATTGGCTATACCCATCCTATTTTCCCCCTATAAAATGGGGTTGCAACCGCTCTTGCACATCCTATCTTGATAATTTTACATTAAAAATACAAAGCATCTCTACAACATTATAAATAGTTTGCATTGCAAATCTAATTTGCATGTGTATCCAGAGGCAACCTTAATTACTTAGTCAACAAACCTAATTCCCTGAACAGCTGTAAAAGTGCTTTGAAGTAGGTCAGCCTTGCTCATTGTTAAATAGTTAGCTGCCTGTGTGCTTTTCACCCTCCAATGTTTGATAATATAATACTTCTCTCTAATGATAGCCCTTGTGCATGCTCATATTACTGAATAGGCATTTTTGCTGGTTTGAATTATTTGGTTTCTATTTTAAAATCTCACAATTACTCACCTATGGCTATTCTGTGTTTAAAAAAAAGAAAACACCTGATTTATAGCAAGGTATTAGTGACATAAGTATGCTGTCCTGAGGTTAGGTGCAGGGAAAGAGTATAAGAAATTTCATATCCGTTAGTGTGTTTGAAAGAATAAAGCAGACTACATTGCAGCAATATATTGCTTTTATATTATTTCTCAACAATACCTTTGGCTTTAAAGTTGACAATGTACTATACTTTTTTTAAAAAAATAGTCTGTCTAGATAACCAAGCTAAAGTTGATATTGCAAAGACTTGAAGTTTATATTGAAGTGACTTTTGCTTTGGAGTTTTTTATATTTTATCCTGACATTTGAAAAATTAGTTATCACGAAGGTAAAAAATGATTTTAATGAAGTATTTAAATACATCTTAGAACAGAAAGAATATTTGTTTTTCAAGTGAGTATCATATACTAGCATTGCTAATCAAGGCATTTGAAAAAGACATGTTTCAAATTGTTACTTTCCTCTAAAAATAGCCCATATATGGCTTTGATTTAATCTTGGTATTTACATATGTAATATATTTTGTGAAAGTCTCTTGAAACTTTATTACAGGAAATCATATGCTTTCCTTTTGTCTTTTAGCTTGTGATGAATGGAAAATTTTACCAAAACCTAATCTGCATCGAGATTTGAACAGATTTGGACACACTGCAGTTGTCAGTAATGGGTAAATGAAGCATGTTTTAAATGTCTCTGACCATTTTTGCAGGCAGAAAAAATACCTATGATGACAATTATATTTACATAAAGTGCAATTCCATGATGTGTACAGTTGATGTCATTTATTAATATGAATAGTAGCCCTCAAGAACAACGTTGCATATCCTGGTCATCAGTACATCAAATCATTTATTTGGGGTAGTTGTGGAACATGTTGATTTAGAGAATGTTTATATAAACCTGAGGGTAGAACATTTGTCTGGCTCTGCCAGGACAGGGGGCACTGGATGTGGTTTTTGATTATGCTGCAACTTTATTCTTAAATGTCTGGGAGTACCTGGCAGATAATTGTACAGTGTAGGAAATACCATATATATTTCTGTATACTCAGGGGGCTGCTGTCAGCCCTACCCCTTTTCAATCCTGGTCCCATCCATTCTGCTTCTGCAACCCCGCCCCCCCCCACCTTTTGTGAGCATTAAGTGGGCTATAAAGGGTGGGGAATTGACTCCCCACCATACCAGTTGCAGGAGCCCCAAATCCCCTGTTGCTGCTTATTTAAAAGATGCCTTGTTTAAATCCTTTGCCAATGAATTTTATCTGATCACCATATAACCATTCTATATGGAGTACATGTACAGGCCCAACCCCCCTTTCCTACTCCAGCAGGTCCCTAACCCGCTGTGAAAGGTGAAAAACCCACCTCGCCTCAGCCTTTCTGGCAGTGAGAGAAAATTCCTTCCCAGCCCCTCTGAGAAAAGGGGCGACTAGCATAATGGCCACAGTAGATAAAGATCCATGCGTGGGGAGGGTAGGTGATGCTAGCCTGGTCTGCATTAGAGGTCTTTCCTGGAACGGCCTTGGGTATAAATAACCTCCCACACACTTCCAGTCAGCTGGAAGGGGGCAGCGTCTCCTCCCCGAACTGACCTCATCCCGTTGTGTTTCTTCCTACATCTTTACCTGGAACTGGTAATCCTTTCGGGGAGAGAGGGCTGCATAAAGGGGCAACGACCTCCTTCCTACCTGCTTGCTGGATCTTTGCAGTTAAAGGGGGCAATTCACTTTCACCATACAGCTGAACAAAGGTCCCCAATGCTTAATGCGTGGCTAGGATGTTTAGTGATTTACAGTGTGTTTGAAATCCAACACCAAGTATAGTAATCACTTGGATGTAATGTATAAATTCTTTTTCTAAATTCAGTAACACACTGTAGGTGATTTAGTGTCAAAAATCATAAGCTTCTAGGAGAAATTTACTTATTGTGTGAAAAAGTAAGCGTTAGATGATTCCCATGCAGTGATCATCATTAAAGTCAGTATGTACCAACAGTTACCAGCTCCAGGCTACATTATTTTTTCAACCCCCAGCAAACCCTTTGTAAAGGTTGCTGTCCACAGAGGAAACCCAACATAGCTACTTTGGCAGGGAATGGGAGGTCAATACTGTGGGCCCCAGAGCTGGCATGGACACACATGGCCTCTGTGCAAGTGGCTTTAGCTTTTGGCAGATCATTTGAGGTTTGCAGGACTTGATGGCCAAACTCCTTGCTTCATCCAATGATGGTGGGGCAAACATTATCCCTCTGAAGCAGTGGTCCCCAACTTTTCCGTGTGGCGGGCGCCGGACGACTAGCCACCGAGGAACATGGCCGCCGGACAAGCAGCCGCCGAAATGCCGCCTAGAAACATCGCCGCCAAAATGCCGCCGAAAAGTAGCGTCATCAAGAGGCATCGCCGCCGAAAAGCATTTTGGCAGCAACGCTTTTTGACATTGCCGCTTCTCGGCGGCATGTCGGCGGCTGCTTGTCTGACGGCCAGTAGGCAGGCGCACATAGATGCCCCGGCGGGCGCCCTGGCGCCCGCGGGCACCGTGTTGGGGACCCCTGTTCTGAAGGAAGAGTTTTATAGGAAACTTAGTTAGGAGGACCTCAAAGAACATTTTCTCATTGGCCCTCTCTCATGGGTTTCACTTATGTCCTAACATGTGGCAGCTGTTGATACCATAAATGATCACTTTTAAATGCCAACAATTGTATGTTGCCTTTTTTACATGATTTATCACTTTCCAATAATCTGAATGTGTAAATAATTAAACACATCAGTAATTATAGAGTATATAAGTTACTTTACACATGAATATTATATTAAAAATAATGCAATAATATGTAGTAATAATAATGCAACAATATCTCAATCCTTGAGATAAATAACAGCAGCAAATTGCAATGATCAGCAAACACAGCACTTCAAATTCCCTAATGAGATATGTGTAGATTGTTTCATTAGCAGAGAAGAATTGCTCATAATGAAAGAGTGTATCTATTGCTAGTGTCTCACAAATAGTGATAAGTGAAATTTAAATGATTGATTCTTATCTAAACTATATCTGAAGCTTTAAGATTTGGCTGCTAACAATGAATTAAAATTGCAGTAAAATACCCAGTTGTTCTTCAGATCTTACTATATTATTTTAACTCTTTAACATAAACTGTGCTGCTTTGGAGGTGCCTCAGAGCCCAATGATACCTGTATCACTACCAAACAAGAGGTCCCCTTGGGAGTATATGATGCTAGAGAGATCTAGATTAATTCTTCAGATCTTCTTAATTTTAAATGAGAAGGGGGAAGAACTATGGCCTCAAATCCAGAAGTGTACTGCTAGCTAAGAGATATGTCCATGACTGCTGGCTGGTGTTACTTGTCCTTGGAATCTTTTGTCTCAAAGAGAAATGCTCTTTGGTCCCAATCTCTTATTGCAGACCATCTAGTTCATACAGTATATGTTTGCATTACCTCATACCAAAAAAGAATACTGTTCCCTGCACAGTCCTTTTTCCTTCTTCCCACCCATTTTCTATGTACTGCTCTATATTTTTCTAATACATATAGTTTGGCTGAGTTTAGACATACTTTAAGCTTCATCTTGGAGCAAACTTTTGGAAAAAAACCACATGAACTTTGAGGTTTTTAAGGGAAACACTGACACAGTCTTAATTTGACTGTTGTGAAGAATACTGCCATAATATATGTAAAGGTGGCCAAAAAAGCAAGAGGATATAGCTTTAATAATGCTTTATTTATAAAAACAGTTATTTTATATTCCCTTTCTTTTGTCATTAGGTCCATGTACATATTTGGGGGTTTTTCAAGTGTTCTGTTGAATGATATCCTTGTGTACAAGCCTCCAGACTGTGAAGCATTCAGACAAGAAGAACTGTGTAAAAATGCTGGTCCAGGGATAAGATGTCTGTGGAACAAAAACCATTGTGAATCCTGGGAATCTGGACGTGCTAACAATGTCCTTGAAGCAAAGTGTACCAGAAAAACAGGTAAGAGTGATTTTTTTGTATCTTTTCTGCACTTCATTGAATTATAATTTTGCATAATGTCAAGTGTAGCAATGCTTCCATGACTGTATAAAGACATTTTCTTATATTTAACATCAGTTGTTTAACCTCCGGTGCTTCAGGATTGACAGCTATCACCCTCTCTTTAGTTTATAGTAAGGGAAAACTCTTTAGAAATGAAATGTAATGGTGAATAACAGGATATATCTTACTTTCCTCACAGGTCCTTCTTTTACTGGAAAGATTTTATAATTAAGGTGTCAGAATGGAAAGAAATAGAAATAAAATATTTTATATCTTCTAAGTTTTCCAAGAAGGGAAGTAATCACAAGGGGTATGGAACAGCTTCTGTACGAGGAGAGATTAATAAGACTGTGACTTTTCAGCTTGGAAAAGAGATGACTAAGGGAGGATATGGTAGAGGTCTATAAAATCATGAAGTGTTATTTACTCCTTCTCATAACACATGGACTAGGGAGTCACCAAATGAAATTAATAGGCAGCAGGTTTAAAACAAACAAAAGGAAGTATTTCTTCACACAGCGCCCAGTCAACCTGTGGATCTCTTTGCCAGAGGATGTTGTGAAGGCAAAGACTATAACAGGGTTTAAAAAAGAACTAGATAAATTCATGGAGGATCGGTCCATCAATGGCTATTAGCCAGGATGGTGTCCATAGCCTCTGTTTGCCAGAAGCTGGGAATGAGCAACAGGGAATGGATCACCTAATGTTGACCTGTTCTGTTCATTCCCTCTGGGGCACCTGGCATTAGCCACTGTCGGAAGACAGGATACTGGGCTTGATGGACCTTTGGTCTGACACAGTATGACCGTTCTTATGTTCTTATACATCGTTTTGGAGGTCACTAAGTTTTAAGAAATATTATCATCAAATTGACCCATCTGCTTTTCTTTTGACATCAGAAACGCCAGTGTTAGTGCTGATCTGCAGGTGTTTTTATAATGTTAGCGGTTAATAATTTTATAAACATTATATAGCTATTATATATAGCTTTCCAAACAAAACTATGACATGTTTCCCATCTCTAAAGAGAGTCAGGTCTATATAAGATAGTAAAACACTAGCGAAGATGTGGTTCAAGAGCTGTAAAGGGGGAGGGGGATCACTGATGAAAAGAAAGGAAGCATTGCTTGAAACAGTGGGTTTTAAAGAGGAATTTGAGGACAGAGAAAGAAGGTGCTTATTGGATGAGGATAGGAACAGTGCACCAGATATAGGAGGCATCACAGATAGAGGGAAGATAGGTGAAAAGCAGAAAAACTAGACTGAGTGATAGTGGGGTGTAAGGGAAATGAGAATAGATGGAGGTGGCAGCAAGATTGAGTGGACCAGTAGATGAGGGAAAAGAGCTTGAATTTGAGGTGTGCAGGCTTTTTAGGCAGACCTGGAGGGACCCACCTTTGCTGCTCCTTACTGGGGCAGGGTATAGCAGAGCCTCCAGCAGAGGGTCACAAAGGGCCAGCTACACCCCTTCAGAATCATATATTGTATAAATTGCTTGTAGTTTACATCTACTATTCACAAATCTTACTGCCTAGCATGTTTTATATCCTGCACCTGTCCTGTGTAAAACACTATAAAGTGGTGCTTACAAAATATAATGGTGATTGAAGAACACTCTACATTAATGAGTTGAAATGGACCATCTTGCTTATGCTCTGGTGAAAGTTTGTCTGACCTTTGGAGCGATATATTAGTGAGGATTACGGTTAGCCCATCCTTGTAGTGCCAGGTTTGCAGAACCATGAGTAGGGTGATAAATTACAGGTCTGTAAATGAAAGAGAGAGTACTCAAACCATAACTGATAGGAATAAATAAAAGGACCTAAATTCTTCTGTCAGTAGGGGGACATTAGGAAAAACTTCCTGTCAGGCGAGTTAAGTATTGGAATAAATTGCCTAGGGAGGTTGTGGAATCTCCATCATTGGAGGTTTTCAAGAACAGGTTTGACAATCACCTGTCAGGAATGGTCTACTTATTGTGCAGTCTGGCCTTGAGTGTTGGGGACTGGACCAGATGACCTCTCAAGATCCCTTCCAGTCCTACACTTTTGTGATTCTATGAGGATTGCACCTCTGGCTGTTCCAGCCCCAAAACCAAAATCTGAAGAGGCCACCTTCTTCTCCTGTAGCCTCTTTGAAGCAGAAGTTATCTTCATCCACTGAGGCTGATAGATTATCTAGGTCTCATACTTTGTCACGTGAATAGAATAAATGATCTAAGAAGTCCTCCGGCACTGAGCTGAAATCAGGTTATAAACATCTATGTTCACTGGTACTGTCTGAGTTGGTACCATTGACTCCAACATGGCCATCAAGACTGGTGCTTTCATTTTTGCTGCTGGGAACTACCTCCACTCTGGCACAGTTGGGTATTGTCTGTGGAGCACTTACCTCCTGTTTTGGTACCAGCAACACCATAGATGTTTTTTGCAGCAAAGGCTTGCTGTACCTTTCTGTGCCTGATTTATTGCTGCTTCAACATCTGGTACCAGTAGCAGCAGCGGCTTCAGCCATATTGGCTCTGTCTTCCTTGTCTGCTCAATCAGCACCATTGATAATGTCAACACTATATATAATGCTGGCACTGTGAGCGCCATTGGCAGAGTCTGGATATTAGTCAGCATTTTGTCCTCTGCAGTCCACCTGAATCATAGAACTGGAAGGGATCTTCAGAGGTCATCTAGTGCAGTCCCCTACACTCATGGCTGGCCAAAGTATTATCTAGACCATCCCTAGTAGATGTTTGTCTAACTTGCACTTAATCGCCAAAGATGGACATTCCACAACCTCCATAGGCAATTTGTTCCAATGCTTAACTACCCTGACAGAAGTTTTTCCTAATGTCCAACCTAAACTGCCCTCACTGCAATTTAAGTCCATTGCTTCTTGTCCTACCCTCAGAGTTTAACTAAAACAATTTTTCTCCCTCTTCCTTGTAACAACCTTTTTATGTACTTGAAAACTGTTATCATGTCCCCTTTCAGTCTTCTCTTCTCCAGACTAAACAAACCCAATTTTTTCAATCTTCCCTCATAGGTCATGTTTTCTAGACCTTTAATAATTTTGTTGCTCTTTGCTGGACTTTCTCCAATTTGTCCACATCTTTCCTGAAACGTGGCACCCAGAACTGGACACAGTACTCCAGTTGAGGCCTTATCAGCGTGGAGTAGAGCAGAAGAATTACTACTTGTGTCTTGCTTACAATACTCCTGCTAATACATCCCAGAACGATGTTCGCTTTTTTTGCAACAGTGTTATACTGTTGACGCATATTTAGCTTATGGTCCACTATGACTCCCAGATCCCTTTCTGCAGTATTCCTTCCCAGGCAGTCATTTCCCATTTTGTATGTGTGCAACGGATTGTTCCTTCCTAAATGGAGTACTTTGCATTTGTCCTTGTTGAATGTCATCCTATTTACTTCAGACCATTTCTCCAGTTTGTCCAGATCATTTTGAATTTTAATTCTATCCTCCAAAGCACTTGCAACCCCTCCCAGCTTGGTATCATCTGAAAACTTTATAAATGCACTCTCTATGCCATTATCTAAATCATTGATGAAGATATTGAACAGAACCGGATCCAGAACTGATCCCTGCAGGACCCCACTTGTTATGCCCTTCCAGCATGACTGTGAACCACTGATAACTACTCTCTGGGAAAATTTTTCCACCCACCTTATAGTAGCTCCATCTAGGTTGCATTTCCCTAGTTTGTTTATGAGAAGGTCATGCAAGACAGTATCAAAATCTTTACTAAAGTCAAGATATACCATGTCTGCTGCTTCCCCCCTTTCAACAAGGCTTGTTATCCTGTCAAAGAAAGCTATCAGGTTGGTTTGATACAATTTGTTCTTGACAAATCCATGTTGACTGTTACTTGACCTTATTATCTTCTAGATGTTTGCAAATTCATTGCTTAATTATTTGCTCCATTAATAATAATTAATTATCCAATAAGATAATTATCTTTCCAGGTAGAGAAATGAAGCTGATTGGTCTGTAATTCCCTGGGTTGTCCTTATTTCCCTTTTTATAGATTGGCACTATATTTGCCCTTTTCCAGTCTTCTGGAATCTCTCCCGTCTTCCACGACTTTTCAAAGATAATAGCTAATGGCTCAGATATCTCCTCAGTCATCTCCTTGAATATTCTAGGATGCATTTCATCAGACCCTGGTGACTTGAAGACATCTAACTTGTATAACAAAACCAGCTTCAACTTTAGCATTACTGTCCATGCAACAGCATGCATTGCTGGCTGTTGTCTCCCCTGCCACCCACCAGAGCAGCTCCTCTGTTTCCTGAAGAGAGCTGCAACTCCTCTTGTTCAAATTTGGAGCATGACCTATTCATCTTGCAAGGTCTTTTAGATCACCTTTCAGGTCACGTTCTACAGACACGGCTCTAATGGTATGGAACAGGAAAGCTTATAAGCCAGCTTAGTGTCCATCACTGCGTGCAGTGCAGAGATTGAACTACCCACGCTTGCCTTACTGGGCACTCTGGATTGCTCTGTGTTTCTAGATCCCCATCTGCAGTGCAGTTGGGAAGAAAGTCAGCATCTCTCTAGTCTCTATTCCTGTCAGGGAAGACCCCCTTCTGGCCCATCAGCCACCCTCAATGTTGGGACCAACTGAGGAAGAGAAACCCAGGGATGAAGCCACAGAACTAACTCCCTACATTTCTTCTTCTTCCTCTGATGAGACCATAACAGCAGAGTTCTCTCCTCCTCAAGATTTTAAGATCTTTCAGGATCTTATTATGAGGGCGGCCATATCCCTATGGGCGCAAGCAGAAGTTGTGCAGGGCAATCTGCATGAATTTTTAGACATTCCGAAGGCTCCAGCACCTGAAAGTGTTGCCCTTCCCATTTACAAAGCCCTTTTTAAAGCTGGCCACAACACTTTGGCAGAGACCGGCTTCTGTACCACATACTGCCAAACGTGTGGACAAGTGTTACCAGGTTCCTCAACAGGAATTTGACTACTATTTCACCTATCCCAGAGGTTCTCAAACTGTGGTCCATGGACCACCAGTGGTCCGCGAGCTCCATTCAGGTGATCCGTGAATAGTTCCCTCTAAGGTGCACGCCTGGGCGGCTGCACACGAGAGAATGAAGGGCAACCCACCTAATTAGTGGAGCCACACAGGTGTGCGCCTTAGAGGGTGGGGGAATTTGGGATATGCAGAAAAAGAGGTGACTTTCCCCAGCTCCAGGGCTGTGGCTGCCGGGGAGAGATGGCCTCCTTCCTAACCTCAGCTCTGTGTCTGCTGTGGCAGGGGAGAGACCCCTTCCTTCCCAGCCCAGCTTGGGGGCTGCTGGGGCGGGAGGGCACATCCATTGCATTAGAAAGGTAAAACTACTGATATTAAAATATGAGTTGTGTGCTTTTATTTGTAGAACAAAATTGTTTTTTTTTATATATATATATAGCACTTTTATCCGAAGTTAGCTAACGGTACAAACAACATTTGGAAAGATCATTAAGTGGTCCACTGAGACCCTCATCAATTTTCAAGTGGTCCGGGGGGGGGGGGGGGGGGTTTGAGAACCACTGACCTATCGTATTTCACACTCTGGTAGTCATTGCAGCTAATAAATCCTGTATGGAAGGAAAGCCTATACCATTGCAAGTCTTCAACTGAGGGTATCAAATTACCAGGCTTTGCCTTCCAAATACATGTTTATTAATTGGTCATCAGTAGTGAAATTTGCAGACAAATTGTTTGAAGAATACAAGAGACAGTTCATGGCAATAATATCTGAAAGACGTCTCAGAGCCTGCACTTCTCTTCAAGAAGCCATTGATGCACCAGACACTGCTTTGCGTTCCATGGCTACAACTATTTCCATCAAAGACCTTTTGTTTGAAGGTTCCAAGCTGTTCCCCCCCCCCCCCCCAAATCTGTATGATACCATGTGCATGTTAAAAAATTCTTGAGCAACTCTGCTCTCTGAGAGTTTACACTGTAATGATGAAATGGAAACAGTTTAAACTCAATCTCACTATAGGTTCTCATTTTACCAGCCAAGAGCCCGGGATGTCTCTAGAAGGAGATCTAAGCCTCCTCGACATAGGCGTTTAGCTTCATCAATTGCAGGTCCATGTCACCAACTACTAAACAATTATTTTGACATTTTCATTGAGGACAACACACCCACAACACATTTCACATGGGATCTGAACTTGGTCTTGTCATACTTAATGGATCATCCTTTTGAACCTTTGGCAACATCATCTTTGCTGCTTTTGTCAGTTTTTGGTAGCAATTACTTCTGCTAGGAGAGTGTCTGAACTTCAGGCACTTCTAGCTGACCTATGTTTCACAATCTTTCACAAAGAAAAGGTCTCTCTTGGGTCACACCCTGAGTTTATGCCCAAGATATTTTCTGCATTCCACCTCAATCAAACCATGCCTCTTCCAATGTTTTTTCTGAAGCCTCATTCCAACTCAGAGGAAAGCTTTATACCTTGGATGTCCAAATGGCTGTATCCTGTTATCTAGACTTCATTTTTAGGTCATCTCCTAGACTTCATGTAGCCTATACTGAAGGGATTAAAGGGCAACCTGGAACAGCTCAGCATATATCCCACCGGATTTCTGACTATATTAAAGTTCTGTTATGATTTAGCTAAGGTAAAATCAAAACAGAGATTGGTTAATGTTTTTGTAAAACAGATTATATTGCAGTATTTTACTTACATTTTGATCTTCATGTAAATCTCATACCCACCTTTTCAGTATGGTAAATGCCATGCTCACAGCTAAGTATAAACATATTTTTAAAAAGTAATGTGTGATTAGTCTGCTAATTATGTCAGTGGAAAAATATCCAAAATGCCACATACTTGCTACTTCATTGCCAGAACACCCCAAAAAACAAACAAACGAGCCCCCAAAATAACAACTCCTGTTGGTTTCCCACAAGAGAATGTTGGGTATAGAAATATCAAAACTATCTATTATTGTAACCTGACAAGTGAAATAGTTAAGATGAGTAAAATAAAAACAATATATTGGAGAACAAACTATTCTTCGAATATACTTTGTATTGAAAATCTAGTAAAATGTACATTACACATACTTATTTTCCTTAAAAATATGTAGTGTTTATCTTTGTACCATATTCCAAATGGTTGTTCTTTTAAAACCATGGTAATTTACTACAGTCGAACCTCAGAGTTACAAACACCAGAGTTACGAACTGATCTGTGAATCACACACCCCATTTGGAACCCGAAGTATACAATCAGGTAGCAGCAGAGACCAAATAAATAAAAAGAAGCAGCAGCAGCAAATATAGTACAGTACTGTGTTAAATGTAAACGACTAAAAAAAGAAAAGGAAAGCTTTAAAAAAAAAAAAAAGATTTGACAAGGTAAGGAAACTGTTTCTGTACTTATTTCATTTAAACTAAGATGGGTAAAAGCAGCATTTTTCTTCTGCATAGTAAAGTTTCAAAACTGTGTTAAGTCAATGTTCAGTTGTAAACTTTTGAAAGAGCTATCATAACATTTTGTTACAAACATTTCAGAGTTACGAACAACCTCCACTCCCAAGATGTTCGTAACTCTGAGGTTCTACTGTATACAGTATTGAAAGTTTATGAAATCAATTAAGAGTTACAATTGATTCTTATCAGTTACAGAATGATCCCGTTAGGTTTTGTTTTTACTTGTTTTACTGCTGTCTTCTTGCATAATGACCTACTATTTTTGTAAAGAGGTCAAGCCTAAAAGTATACTTACTCACTTTGTTAAATTAACGAACAAGGGATAGAATAAAAGGCTATTAACTTGTTTCTTTGATCCATGTACTGTTCTAGTATCAGTCTATACGTTACAAATCAAGGACTGTTTTTGTTTCTTTGACAGGTCAGGGTCTTATGAAACTTCAACTAATATGTGTTTAAAGAACAGGTGTTTTAAAGGGGGTAAATAACATTAACCTAATATGGTTGATTTTCTATTAAGTAAATTGCATCTTAGATTGTTTGTAATGAAAAAATGCCAGATATTGTCCCAAGCAGCTGTTAAAAATGTGTGAATTAAGAAATGTGGTGCACTCTCTCTTTCATCTTGCCATTTGTTTTGTCTCTCATTTGTACTACAGCTGCTGCAGATGACAGATGTTACAGATATGCAGACTGTGCCAGTTGTACCGCCAATACAAATGGTTGCCAGTGGTGTGATGACAAGAAGTGCATTTCAGCGAACAGTAACTGCAGTATGGTGAGTATTTGAGTCTATGGATATATAGTTAACATACAGTGATAATGCAAAGGAAAAACATCTGAAAATTGAAACTTTCTGTTACCTTACTTTTGACTGCTCCCCATCCTTCAACTAAGAAACTTTCTAAGTTATCCTAGACCCTACCAGGTAATTTAAGTTCTTAGTCTGTTAGCATATAAAAAAGTGAACATATGGCAGTGTTGGCTGGGATTTTTAAAGGAATCTATGGGAGATAGGCATCCAAGGACAGGTGTCGTGGAAAAAAACGACCACGTGTTGTGTTTGGATCAGAATCGCCTGAGGCCTTTTTATTCTCGAGCATGCACGGTGGGTACCAGTGAACTGGCAGTTCCCCCGAACACAGATTTTGAATGGCTTATATAGAACAAAACCACAATTCGTAATACATACTTTCTTATCAACATTATTACCATATTTGGAATACAATATCCATAAAAGGGAATATAGCATAGCAAGCTTTCCTGTTATTCTCACTTTGCCCTTTGCGGTTACAAGCTTCCCCTAAAACTACCAGTGGGCAGTTATGAATCACCAGCCTTGTGATTATAGATCGTTCTGCTTTTGTACTTTTAATACACCCTGCCTTCAAAAAATCACCTTTCTCCAAAAAACCCCTTCTTCCAGTTAACTTGACTAAAGTTCAGGCTCAAGCCAAAAAATACAGGCCTACCTGAGCCAACCAAAGTTTAGGCCTAGTAAATTTTTCTACAACACAGGGTAGGCCCATTACTCTCAAATGAGTGGGGAAAGACAATAACAGAAAATGTGGAAATGGCAGAAGTGCTAAGTGACTTTTTTGCCATTAGTGCAGGGGACTGGATTAGATGACCTCTCGAGGTCCTTTCCAGTGCTACAATTCTATGATCCAGCTCCTCTTGAATTTCAATAAGAGAGAGGTGCCTAAGTCCCTAGGCTTCACTGAAATCTGAACAGTTATTGTCAGATCAACAGCATCATCCATGAGGCTTAGTACTCATTACTTATTCTTTACAATGGAAACCCTACACAATCATGTTACAAGACAATATAACATGGAGCTGTTTACAAAATTGAGAAGTTTTGACAGCTCCCACTAGAATAATGACTCAGAAAATAATAGTAATAATATTTAGAACTTTCATAGTGCTTTTTATCAATGGATCGCAAAGTGTTTTTCAAAGGTGGATAAGTATGATTATTACCATTTTACAGATGGGGAAACTGAAGCAGTGAAGTTATGTGAATTGCCTATGGTTATGTAGTGAATCAGTGACAATTCTTGGAACAGAACTCATGTCTCCTGATTCTCAGTCTGGTGCCCTAACTGAATCTATTAATCTATCTAATTTCTTACATGGCACCCATATGAAGCATCAGACGTACTGCAAGGTTACCGCTAAAACAGATGTAAAATTCCATAAACTCACCACACTGTAGCATTTTACTGACCATCAGAGAATTAGCCCATAGGAATAAAGAGCAATAGTGTTTGAAATTGCAACATATTGTGGAATCTACAATATATAGGGACCACCCTCGCCACCATTTTGGGAAGGTTACTGATAAACATGTTGATGAACATTAATAACTAATATAAATTTACAATGGTCTCCTGAGTACTGTTATTTTCATGAGCTCTTATTTCTTATGCATCTTTCCTTCCTTGACTGCACATTTCCTGTAAAATAGAAATACTGAAACAGGGGAAAAAAGAGGAAACATTGACTCTTGCTGTGTTTTGAATTTCACTGCCATCTCCCTGTTACTTCACTACACAAACACCAGTGACAGCAAAATGCAGGCTAGGTTATCAGTAAATTTTGAGCAGGTTTTAAATGTGCGAATTATGATTGACTTACTCATGGTATCAGTGTCATACAGCAGTACTTGGACGATATGCCAAGCACTTAAATGCACAGCAGAATTCAGAGGGCATTTGTTTAGTTTCCCTGAGATAAATTCACTTGCAATCTTGATAAAAGATTTTTCCTTAAAAACAAAACCAAAAATTACAAAAGCTCTCTTGGATGTTTAAAAGAATTGCTGTGAAAGAACATAGGAAAGCCTATTGGATTTCACAAGGATAGTTCTTAAAGGTCTGAAGGTATAAACAGTCTATGAGAAATGGAGATGGGGGGGGGGGAGGGGGAATAAAGCAAAAATATGTAGATTTGTTTAAGGATTGCATGAAAAGATAGAAGACAATGATGATGATTTGTACTTTTCATCATTAGATTTCAAAGCACTTTACAAAAGTGGGTAGCATACCCGTATTCTGTAAATTGGGAGACTAAGGCACCAAGATGTTGAGTTTCCCAAGGTCACACAGCAATTCAGTGGCAGAACTGTGAATTAAAGCTAAACCTCCACCATGCTAGCTTGGTGTTTTAGCAAGTAGGCAGTGCTACCTCCGGTAGTAGCCAATAGTAACTTTCAGGTCATTTATCTGGCACTACCTGAGCTCACAAAGGCCTTTTCCATTGGTACTGTGCAACTGTTTGGCAAGGTAGAACTAAATCTTTTCTGGATCTTAGACTCTGTACTGTAGAAGCCATTATGAGTTCCTGTTTCAAGGTCAGAGTTTCGATTTTTTTCTTCTCTGAGGCACAGTGTAGCGTAAGAAATTGACTGTACCAATTCATACCATCTAAAACCCAGGTCAGTTTGTTGTCAATAAAGCAGAATTTTATTGGAGAGAGAAAATCACAATATAAAAAGTAAATATTGCTCAATTTTAGGCCTCTATTGCTAAAATATAGATATTGGGATGATAAACTGGAGTTTCAAATACTGATCCTACTGGGTTTTGTGGCTCAGAGCTTGTTCGGTGTTACAGAAAAGCAGTTTCACCAACCCTAGGGTGGACTTTTTGTTAGCAAACTTCACTTCTTGTTTATTGAAAATATGTTTTTGTTTCTCTCCATTGCTCACCTTCACCATATAGCTAAGTACTCCGTATATTTTAGGATTAGAATGAGTTTATAAAAAAATAAATCAATCTTGCTTTGAGATACAACTAACTGACCCAAATAGATGGTCAAGAAAAACAAATACTAGAAAGTATCAAACGGTCTATTTGTAAATAAGAAGTCTTATGGAATTGGTTGTATCAGCCATTTTAGAATAATCACTGAATTGTTTCTACACAAGAAAATATGGGTAAGTATTGAGACTTAGGAAGAAATGAAGATTTTTTTTTTCATTTGTGGTGTTGATAAGAAGAGGAATGGTTAAAAAAACAACAAAAACCTTTGAACTATACTAATCAGCAGGTCCAGAGTATATATGTCTCTGGATCTTAAGAGAATTAGCTAACAAACACACTGAACCACTATCAATTATTTTTGATAAGTCATTGACAACAGGGAAGGCAGTGGGTAATTGGAATAAAAAAGCAAATTTGATCTCAATGGTGTAAAATGGGGAAAAAAACAATCTTTATAGTTACTGTCTGGTAAATTCTGGTTTTGGCTTCTATTAAAATAATGGAACCAAATATTAAAAGAAATTAGCTGGGGGCGGAAAGGAAGAGAACCATGAAAAGTAATGATGATTACTTCATAAAGTAATTCACTTTATTTGAATGATTTACAAAGTTAAGGGCTAAAATGTGATATTAAAGTAATATCTCTGGGGCCAAACTGTGCATGATGCCTTGGTGAATAGGATGTAAGGTGCCTCCCTCATTCTCTGGTATCCTTCTACATCAACTTGGGCACATTGTGGTCTTTTTACTCAGGCTATGTCTTCACTGCATGCTAACCATGGGTATGCAATTGCAGGTTAGTCAATGAGCAGTTGCCTAACCCACTACAGTGCAAACACATTGTTGATATCTGCATGCTGCTGTCACGCCCCATGTCTGCAAGGGCACTATATGTAACTGTGAGAAACAGTAAAGCTATCTGGGCATGGATCCCATGATTCATAGTGTCAAAGCTCACTGTGCCACTCTATACTTACAGTCACAGGGGTGTTCTGGGGAGACTTGTCTGCCCACTCAGGGAGTTGTGTGAGGAAATGGTGTAGGGCTGGAAAATTCATTTCCTGGCAGAACCCAGTCTGGTGTGATGTGCACCTCCTGTACGCAGACTGGATCAGAACCACAAGCACAGAGTGGTGGGACTTCACTGTGGTGGAAACATGGGATGACCAGCCATGGGGCCAGAATTTTCACATGAGAAAGCCACATTCCTAGAGCTTATGAGGAGTGTGACCCAGACATTGAGTTATAGAACACCCAGATAAGAGAGGCAATAATTGTCCAGAAGTGTGTTGCTATCACCTTGTGGAAATTGTCAGTTTGGGGTTGGCAAATCAATGGCTGGCACAGCATTCAAGGAGGATTACAAGGCAATTAATGCTGTGCTGGCTCTAGAGGTTATGAAAATTGAAAATATCTCTGAAATAATTGCTGGGTTTGCACTCATGGAGTTCCTGAGCTGTTTTGGTGCTATTGATACTGGCCACATACATATCCTGTGCTTGCCATCTGAAGCAAGCAAGGACATTACTATTCCATTGTTATGCAGGCCCTTGTGGATTACTGTGGCATATTCATGGATACCTACACTGGATGCACAGGTAGGGTGCATGATTCTAGGGTGTTCCAAAGGTCTGGCCTGTTTCAGCATGGACAAGCTTATAAATCGTTCCCCTCGAACAACACAGTCAGCAGTAGGGTGTCTGTACCAACTGTGATTTTAGGTGACCCAGCCTCCCCTCTGCAGCCCTGGGTGATGAAGGTTTATCAGTACCTGCACCAACCAGACAAGAGACAGCTTAAATGCATGTTGAGCTGGTGCAGGATGATGGTGGAATGTGCTTTTGGCCAACTGAAAGCAACATGGCACATGGTCCAAAACTCATTTGGACTGTAGTGTGTTTAATGCCATACATGTGATTGGGTATGTTGTGTGCTTCATAGTATATGTAAGTATAAGCGGGAATACTTTGGAATGGAATGGGTTGCCGATAATAATTCTTTGGGGTCTGTT